CAGATTTTTTCATGAACACTTTGGGCATTTGTATACATTCTTTAAAAAATGTTCCAGGTACTTTGCCCATTTTTAATATATATACTTTTTTACCGTTGAGGTCCTTATAAAATTAAATGTTAACCCATATCACATGTATGATTTGCACACTTTTTTCCTATTTTGGAGTGTTATTATATTAGCTCTGATTTATTTTATATATAGGCACTACTATAGCCTTTTAGGTCTGCTTTATTCCTATGATTTAAACCTTTTTGTTCTATGTAGTATAAGCCTGCTGACTTTCTGTATGATGCTTATCACTGACTGTGGTATTGAGGATCTCTCTTATGCATACAGCACAGCTAAGTGTTTTACACAGATCCCCTTGACAGACTGACCTATCATATACTAACCTTCTTTCAGTTTTTAACTTAGTTGATACATCTAAATGTAGACTTTGCTTTTTTCATATACAAATATCTTTTTCCATCTCCACACTTTTCAACTTTGTCTTTAAAAGCAAGGTGAATTTCTCACAAGGAGCATGAAGTTGAGTATTGTTTATTAAACCTATTCAGTGGTGTGCTTGTGTGTTCATCTGCACATGTGTATGCAGAGGTCAGAGGGTGACTAGATGTGGTGAGCGTGTGTTCATCTGCACATGTGTATGCAGAGGTCAGAGGGTGACTAGATGTGGTGAGCGTGTGTTCATCTGCGCATGTGTATGCAGAGGTCAGAGGGTGACTTCAGGATGTGGTGAGCGTGTGTTCATCTGCACATGTGTATGCAGAGGTCAGAGGGTGACTTCAGGATGTGGTGAGCGTGTGTTCATCTGCACATGTGTATGCAGAGGTCAGAGGGTGACCAGGATGTGGTGAGCGTGTGTTCATCTGCACATGTGTATGCAGAGGTCAGAGGGTGACTTCAGGATGTGGTGAGCGTGTGTTCATCTGCACATGTGTATGCAGAGGTCAGAGGGTGACTTCAGGATGTGGTGAGCGTGTGTTCATCTGCACATGTGTATGCAGAGGTCAGAGGGTGACTAGATGTGGTGAGCGTGTGTTCATCTGCACATGTGTATGCAGAGGTCAGAGGGTGACTTCGGGATGTAGTGAGCGTGTGTTCATCTGCACATGTGTATGCAGAGGTCAGAGGGTGACCAGGATGTGGTGAGCATGTGTTCATCTGCGCATGTGTATGCAGAGGTCAGAGGGTGACTTCAGGATGTGGTGAGCGTGTGTTCATCTGCACATGTGTATGCAGAGGTCAGAGGGTGACTTCAGGATGTGGTGAGCGTGTGTTCATCTGCACATGTGTATGCAGAGGTCAGAGGGTGACTTCAGGATGTGGTGAGCGTGTGTTCATCTGCACATGTGTATGCAGAGGTCAGAGGGTGACTTCAGGATGTGGTGAGCGTGTGTTCATCTGCACATGTGTATGCAGAGGTCAGAAGGTGACTTCCGGATGTGGTGAGCGTGTGTTCATCTGCGCATGTGTATGCAGAGGTCAGAGGGTGACTTCAGGATGTGGTGAGCGTGTGTTCATCTGTGCATGTGTATGCAGAGGTCAGAGGGTGACTAGATGTGGTGAGCGTGTGTTCATCTGCGCATGTGTATGCAGAGGTCAGAGGGTGACTTCAGGATGTGGTGAGCGTGTGTTCATCTGCACATGTGTATGCAGAGGTCAGAGGATGACTTCACGATTTACATCCCTCTACTTTGCATCTTCCTCTACTTCCATCTCTTTTTTTCTTTTTTGAGACAGAGTCTCTCACTGAACCTAGAGCTCACCTTTTTGGACAGACTGGCTGGCCAACAAGCCCCAGGGGTCTGTTGGTGTCTCTGCTACCCACCACTGGGTTTATGGGTATGCATTGCCACCCCTAGCTCTTATGTGGGTGCTGGGAATCCAAACTCCTGGTACTTACACAATGATCACTGTACCCACCGAGCATCTTCCAGCTCAGAAAATGGTTCTGACTAGAGGTTTTAGTTCATTTAGATTTAAGGAATTTATTAAATATATTCAAAGTTGATTATTCTCACTTTTTTAATACACAAGTAGTAAGAACTTATCCTTTCACGTCATATGCCCACCAGCAGTAGAGCTGCTGTCCCTGCAAACGCACACAAGCACTCTGGAAGGCTCTCTCCTCTAGGAGTAATAATGGACCACCAAGCACACTTGTTTTGGCAAGTCTCTATCACTGTGTCGGATAGACAGCCCCATTTAGTTGGGTCTTTGTTTCCCCCCACTCTTCCAGCATGCCAGGTTTGCACTGAGATCTTGATGGTAAAGTTGAAGCCTTTTGTGTGGGGTGGCACATCTTTTTGTTGAGTTCCGGATTCTACCAGTGTTTGGCAATTTGGTTGTAATGTCACAGTGTAATCCATTTTGAATCAAATATGATTTGTGACTTTGAATCTTTCCATACCTGGATTTAAAAAAAATTTCCCCCAGAAATTGGGGCATTTTTAGCTACGTGATTTTTCTTTAATACTGTGTTCAGCATTTTCAGCTGTGCTGCTAGTTCATAGGCTGTAGGTCTCATTTCTTCACACCTTTTTTTCTCAGATGACCGTATACTTTGTCATCCACATCTGTGGCTTAGACCACTAGTTATATAGTGTTTCCATGTACTAGGTATATACTGTAAGTACTCTAGTTATATAGTGTTTTCCATGTACTAGGTATATACTGTAAGTACTCTATTATATAGTGTTTTCCATGTACTAGGTATATACTGTAAGTACTCTAGTTATATAGTGTTTTCCATGTACTAGATATATACTGTAAGTACTCTAGTTATACAGTGTTTTCCATGTACTAGGTATATACTGTAAGTACTCTAGTTATATAGTGTTTTCCATGTACTAAGTATATACTGTAAGTACACTAGTTATATAGTGTTTTCCATGTACTAGGTATATACTGTAAGTACACTAGTTATACAGTGTTTTCCATGTACTAGGTATATCCTGTAAGTACTCTAGTTATATAGTGTTTTCCATGTACTAAGTATATCCTGTAAGTACACTAGTTATATAGTGTTTTCCATGTACTAGGTATATACTGTAAGTACACTAGTTATATAGTGTTTTCCATGTACTAGATATATACTGTAAGTACTCTAGTTATAGTGTTTTCCATGTACTAGGTATATACTGTAAGTACTCTAGTTATATAGTGTTTTCCATGTACTAGATATATACTGTAAGTACTCTAGTTATATAGTGTTTTCCATGTACTAGATATATACTGTAAGTACTCTAGTTATATAGTGTTTTCCATGTACTAGGTATATACTGTAAGTACTCTAGTTATATAGTGTTTTCCATGTACTAGGCATATACTGTAAGTACACTAGTTATACAGTGTTTTCCATGTACTAGGTATATACTGTAAGTACTCTAGTTATATAGTGTTTTCCATGTACTAGGCATATACTGTAAGTACTCTAGTTATATAGTGTTTTCCATGTACTAGGTATAATCTGTAAGTACTCTAGTTATATAGTGTTTTCCATGTACTAAGTATATACTGTAAGTACTCTATTATATAGTGTTTTCCATATACTAGGTATATACTGTAAGTACTCTAGTTATATAGTGTTTTCCATGTACTAGGTATATACTGTAAGTACACTAGTTATACAGTGTTTTCCATGTACTAGGCATATACTGTAAGTACACTAGTTATACAGTGTTTTCCATGTACTAGGTATATACTGTAAGTACACTAGTTATATAGTGTTTTCCATGTACTAGGTATATACTGTAAGTACACTAGTGATAATTTTAAGTGGATTTTGGTATCTTTTGAAGTCCTGGGTCCAGTCACTTGCAGATACCACAGAAAGAGCTTCCTCTGTTATCTTGATATCTCTTCCCATAATACTCTGCGCCACCATGGATGAACGCAAAAGCAAGTAGCCAACCAATCATGGATAAACACCCCTCCCCCGCACATAGGCAAGAAACATTTTTTATAGGCCGAGTATCATGCTGTTTCCTTACAGGTATGTAGACTTAACACCTCACCGTGCCTCAATCTCCACTGTCATGTGTGTGATTATGTTGAACTGTGTTTGTTATCTTCCGATGGTTACTCTCCCTTAAAATGATTACCCTGAATTATTGCATATTAGTAGTTTGGAGATCCCGAGCTCCTGGAAGCGGCTGACTGGTATCCATGTCTGCTTGACTTCATATTTCTTGTTGGTTTCTGTGCCTTCAGAGGCACTGTCACTTTTAGGATGGCTTTGGGACAGAGCACTCACACTTGTGGATGAAAAGGCACAACCGAGGGACAGCTGGCAGCTGAGGCAGGTTTGGCAGACACCGCAGGGTCCCCAGAGCTCTGTACTGTTGAGTAGCTCAGGGTTTTGTAGCATGCACATGGCTACAGTGGCTGCAGGGTGAACGTGAGGTCTGCGTTCTCTATGGTGACTGCAGGAGCCAGTATTAATAAATTGGCACATTACACAGTGGTGCTGGGGGCCCAGAGACAAGCCTTTTAAGCACTGATGTTGGTTGGACGTCCAGGCCTGGAGCCAAGCTGTTATTTAAATGTAGGCGTGGCTTGAGGGTCCATGTCCAAACAAGCTTGATCTGGGATGTCTCCCACGATGGACGCATAGGAAGGTATGGTGCAACCTTAGAACGTAAGTCTGGAGTGTTCTGAGTTTGTGCAGGGTCGGGAGAGATGGCATCTCTGATTCAGGACTAAGGAAGGGCCTGCCGTGTGGTGAGTGATGTGTTTGTGGGGTGGCAGCCTCTGGTGAAAATGGATGGTTGCTAATCTGTGCAAAAGAAACCGAACCCAAGAAGACAGAAGAAATGAGAGACCCCACTGCAAACTTTAAAAGCCTGTGTCAGGGAAAGGACATTTTTGCTGTGAGATAAACCATCCAAGGCCCGGCTCCGATGTAAAGCAGCCTTTGCTGTGCATGCAACAGGATCCTATACTGGGTAAATAAAACAGGAGCTTCTGGACATATTCAACCAAACACTAAAAACTTTGAATGGAGAACAGATTTTATTCTAAAAATAGATCTTAGTAACAAGGAGATACCAAAACTGGTCATTATAGACAAACAGTAACAAGAGTTTGCCAATGTTCCCAGAAGATACAAAATTATGGCATCATAAAATATGTTACCAACTCTAATTTCTCTACCTTAGAATTATCCCTTTCATAGAATTTCTGAAGTAAAATTTAAAGCCAGAGTAGCCTTGCCTGGTGTACAATGACCATCTAGGACTGTTTTATCCTAACATACTCTCTAGGGAAGCCAGGAAGGGCGAGCGTTTGCTGAAGCCGGTCTTGGAAGACAGACTTATGCCTAGGAAATGGGCTCCATTTTGGCAGATTAAAAAGAAATCCCTTCAATAAAAGTCCTGGTATTTGAAAGTAACAAATTAAAAAAAAAATGTACCTTTACTTTTTAATCCCCAAATCAGAGGAAAGTAGGGCAAGCTTCTAAAGTTTCTAAGACAGCACTTTAAGAAAGTGGTTCTGTCTTCAAAGTGCTGAAGAAACAAGTCTTCAAGGAGCTCATTAGCCAGGACTGCAGTATCAGGGACGCAGCAAACAAGACCCTCACCTCTACAGCATCTTCAACCTCATCCTGAAGAGAGGAAAGCACCAATTTCCCGTCAGCCCACACTTGAGACCAGCCTAAGCCCGTGCCCCATTTCCTAACATTTCCTCCTTTCTCTCTGGATTAATGTAGATTTGAGGAGTCAATGTTTTAACACATTGGTTGGCCCTTATATACAGCAAGTAGAAATGATTCTAATTTATATAAAAATTTCCTGGTAGTTTTAGTTTTTTGAAAACCAGCAGCAGATTACAAAAGTTACGCTTAGATTTTTAGCTGTAACAGGTGAGCACTCATTAGGACATTTTTGGCTTATTGCTACACTTTCAGAAATTCCTGTAATTTATTCTGGCCCTCTGCAATAGAAATATTATATTAGTATTTTGACACTAAACACCTCCTCTGTTAAACTTGACCCTGAGTTTGACTTGGAATAAACTATAGAACTCAATGCAGAGATGCTGCTGCTGGGGACCAGATGTAGCTGCTGGGGGACCAGATGTAGCTGCTGGGGGGACCAGATGTAGCTCCCTTTCCAGGGCAAGGAATGGGCCTGGGGATAAGGAAGTTGGAATTTACTCCAAAATACAGCTTAGTATAAAAAAGTAATTTTCTCAAAACTGAGTAAGTTGATAGTGTAAAAAATACAGCATCTCCACCCTGTAGGTTTATTGACCTGGGGCGGGGTAGGGGTCATGATCCCTGGTTTACCAAACAGCATTTTGCTGCCAATATAGATTTCTAAACACTGATTTGGGTGTCATATAAAATTTCTGAATATGGAGAGCAGCTCTACATTGCCTGAAAAGCATTCACTAAAACTTAATTGACAAGCGCGTGTGCACAGCGGTTTCCAGCGGTGTGACAGGTGCCCACAGCGGCAGTCCACTTGTTCTCCTAGATTGCCAGGCCTGCTGCAGTTGAGAAGCATGGCAAGTGCGGCAGCATGCTGCAATTCATGCCGAAAGGAAGAAGCAGAGACGGAGAGCTGAGAAAAGGTGGTTAGTGAAGGCCAGGCTCCACAGTGCTGTGAGGGATGCATCGGAGCGCAAGTTCTCGCCAGGTCAACCCTGACTAGAAACCCTAAAATGCGGGGGCTTCCTAAGGTTTGCTGGTTAGCTGAGCTGTGGAACCCAAGGTGTAAATCAGGACACACCCCAGCACTGAATGGCACTTAGGTTTGTTATGTGACCAACCAGACACCGCTGCAATAGGCTCTGCAATTCTGTGGGATCCTGCCCCTCGGTGACAACCAGTGTCATGGCATCCTCTGAAGGATAGGACTTGTCTTGCTATGACTTTCTAAAGTAAACTTAATCACTGGATAAATTACCTGTTAGCTCCAAAATCAATGAACTGCCCAGACTACACCCTTTACCTTTAATAATAAGGGATTTTCAGATATTCATGGAACACATTGTTCATTTTATATATGACTTGCTTATACTATTTCCAAGAAAATAATATTTCAGGCTAATATAAACCAAACTATTTGATAGGGCTGCAGTCTCTCTTCTTTCCTTGGCCAGTGGAGTAATTTAAATGATGGCATCATGTTCATCACTGTAAAATATAGAAAATTTAAATCACTGTAAAATTATTATTTGTAAGGAAGGTAACTTTAGAATAATCTCTATTTCTACAATCAAAATTAATTATTGCTCCTCAGCATAGCTCTAAGTTTTGTGCATACCCAGAATATTGCAGTGGTTAAGATTGCCAAACAGGCCCAAAGTCAAATCCCTGAGACTTTTCATGGGGGGCATGCCGTTACCTGGTCATGTACACGAGGGAAAACTTACCCCATGAAGGGCAAAATTCGGAAGTCAGCCAACTGTAAAGGCTAGGATTATAAGCCATGGACACCATACCTGGTTTACGGAGTTAGTACCTTAAGTAACTACTATCACCAGGAAAATTAAGCAGAAGAATTTCCTCTGTGTCTATGTCTTTTATCACAAAAAGCAAAAACCATGTTTTTAACCAAAAAACCTCTTTGGTACCACTGACATATACAGGGCATGTGGACTAAGTTGATGAAACCTGGTATGCCATTTCTTATGATGCGTGGTAAAAGTCAACAAAAGGAGTGTGGTAAATGCTGGTAAGCAGTGTTTGATCCGAGGGAAACCAGTATGCTTACAGATGTGTTTTCCTTTATGAGCACACATCTGCACACGAGCATAGCAGAGGTCTCTCAAGAGGATGCTGGTCTGACTCTGCTCCTGGTCATGAGAAAGCTATGTAGAACAGCCAAACTTACATGCTTCGATACCGAATGCCTCTCCTTGAATAATACACTTTGCATCCAATGTAGAGAATAGACAGGACTCCCAGAGTTAACACTATTCCTCCAACAAAGCTGCCGGTGTCGAACTTTGATCCTTTGCTCTTGTCAGAATGGACAGTCGCTGTGACTAGAAGGAAACACAACAGATACCTGCGCTTTAAACACTGCATGTTCTGAAGCCTGGATCTCTAGGAAGAAATGGATGTGGGAACAGGAGAAAATTTGGCACATAAAAGTTTCTGTATTTTTGCAGAATGAAATGCTGCTTTAATGTGGCATTTAACAACTAATTTACAGCACAGGAATAGAAGTAATTTTAATACGTACTCGTTATAGATGTCTTTAAGCTGTTGTGGCCTGTGGTCATCATGGATGCTGCCGTCTGGGTTGATTTTGGGGAAGCACTTGCTTTGGGTGTAGACTTTGAGGCAGTAGAAGTCACGTGTGATGAGACCCTTGGTGTTGATGTTTTAGCAATAGTTGCAGGTTTCACAGTGACAGTTGTGACATTTCTTGGCAGTCCTGAAGTTACTAATGGCTTCAAAGTGCTGTTGTTAACTTTACTGGTCTGGTTGGAAGCCATATGCACAGTGGTATTTTCTGGAAAAAAAAAAAATGCCAAGAGGAAAACTTGCTAAGATCTAGAGTAAAAGATCCCACCCACTGCCACTTGCCATGGCCCCACACAGAGTCTAACAAGGGCAGGAGCAGGGGAGCTGCACCAACAACAGCACCGACTGTCAACAGACCAGGCCCACGTCTACAGAGCTATACCATGCTTTCTATCACAGTTTAGGGTTTTTTGTTTTTCTCCAGGATGGCCTAGAACTCAGAGACCTGCCTGCCTCTGCCTCTTAAATGCTGGAATTAAAGGAGTGTGCCACGCCCCCCCCCCCCCATATTTTCAACTTTTAAACCATACTGTTTTGTTTGGTTTTTGGAGTCAGGGTCTTGCTATGCAGCCCAGGGTGGCCTCGGCTTGTGACAGTCACACTGCAGCCTGGGTGCTGTGATTACAGGCCCCTTCCCACATGTAATGAATCATTTCTGGTCTAGAGGAGTAAACCCTGAAGGGGAAAGCGAGAAGGCCTTGAAGTGTAAGGTTCTCTGCCGCATTGTTTCAGGACCACTGAGGACAGCAGTAGCTGCAGGTGTGCAAGCAGAGGTATTCTTTACAAGGGGAAACAACTTCCATTCCCAGAGTCCCCGCAGGAACGCCCGCAGTCAGGTGGCCATTCTGTGCGGTGATGGGGTCCCCAGGTGGAAGGATGTGTTTCTGAAAGCTGCAAAGACACTTCCGCAGTGCTGGTTGGCAGTACCAATGCCTCAGCCCATGCCAGGTCATATTTTTTTGGTATGAAATATTGTGTGCGTGAAAAAGGGACAGAGACATCAGTCTCCTTAAGGTAAACTCCCAACACAAAATGTCTCCTTTAAGTCTTACTCAGTAGGCATTTCCCTTGAGGGAGCATAAACCCTCCGTGTGAGCAGACAAGCCATTCTACAGTGGCAGTCCACAGGGTAGCACTCTGCAGCTCTGCAGCTGCTGACAGTCCTCACACGTGTGGGGTGGAGGCCCGGAAAGAGCCTTTGACTCCAGAAGATGGTGGTGTTTGTTTCTGTGTTGGCTTTCCATCTCTTGGAGATAGAAAAGCTTACTGGTTTCCCTTGCTGCCCATTTCCCCTCACAAACAGCAAAGACGAAGAAGCTAATCACGGGGCCCACCTTCTTGCCCTGGCAGCACCAAGGTCGCCATTCCTTCTGCTGGTGGTAGCCATCACGACTCCACACACCACCCTCCTGTCCTCCACAACCATTCTGAAGACTAGAGAATTTCAAGCTTAACTGTACAGGCTGGTTTTACGGGCATTGCTCCTCCACACCCAGACACTTAAATCCTGGGTGTATCTAGCCGCTCACAACCTTGCTCCTCTACTGTGTTCTCTCCCAGGGTTATTCATGATTTTTGTTGTTGTTGTTTTGTAGGTGCCTCACTTGAACCAACCTTTACTATTCAGTCCTGAACACTATACTGTCCAATCACATTCTACACTGCTGCATGAATTCTACTGTGACCAAACAGTGAACGGCAGTCTTCTTGTCCTGGTGTTAACAGAGTGGTGTCTAAGGAACAAAACAACCAACAACGCTGCTTCCCAGCCACTCTTCAGACCTGTAAAGCCACATGGGCAAAAACAGGACAGGAGAGCATTAGTTCCCTGCTCGGAAAGTCTAATGTGCTGAAACACATTAGAAACATGAGGAAAAACTAAGTGGCTGGAAGTTTCTAAAACTAGTAAAATACTCCAAAGGGTGACCTGCTATTAAGGTTCAGACATAAGAGCTGGGATGGAAGGATGCTCTCCTTAAGGTCAGAGTTCATGCCTGGTGACTCAGCTCCCCTCTCCTGAAATATAATTGAAGGTTATGCATTTCCTTTGTGAATGACTGTCAGTCTGGGCAAGGAGGACACACCTGGTAAGCAGTTCTCAGGAGGCTGAAGCAGGGAGTCGCAAGCTTAGAGCCAGCCAGGGTTACAAGGCAAGATCCTGTCTCAAAGAACAAAAACAACAGGTAACTACGCTCGGGAGATGGCTTCAGTGGGTAAAGGTGCTGGCCGCCAGGGCGAGGAGCTCAGTTTGATCCCTGGGACCCTCATGACAAGAGGAGAATACTCTCAAACTTTCCCCACCTTCACACGTGTGCTATGGTGTACATGTGCGTATGCGCGTGTTCGTATACTCACAATGAATAAATTTAATAAAATATTTTATATAAATGATAACCACATAAAGCCTGATGTTCTCCCTCTTTTCAACATTCAGGGACTGATGAGTATCTAAATCAGTTAACAAAGTCATTATGTGTACAGCAATGTCAGGACAACAAGCTGGCCAGCCAGCTGGCATTGTTAGGGAGAAACTTTGCTGTTGGTAGCTGTAGACCCCTAGGCCCCTTGACTGGTGCGGGAGAATCGTCTGTAATCTGTCAATCATGTTTTAAATAAACGCTGATTGGCCAGGCAGGAAGTATAGGCAGGAAAACCAGACAGGAAGTAGCAATGACACAATGAGAACAGGAGAATTCTGGAAAAAAGAAAGTTGATTCCTCCCACTCCTGCCCAAACCACCAAAGCAGCAGGATGTGATCTGCCCCACTGAAAAAAGGTACTGAGCCACATGGCTAACATAGATCAGAAAAATGGGTTATCAAGATGTGAGAGTTAGCCAGTAAGAGGCTAGAGCTAATGGGCCAATCAGCTTATAATTAATGGAGACCTATGTGTGATTTTCTTTGGGCCTAAACAGCTGGGGATACCGGGCAGGACAAAAACCCCAACAGCAAGCAGGTCCCTGCTCATGTTACAGAATGGCGCCCACGTGAATAACTGCATTCACAGAAAACCTGAGAAAGCTTGGGAAAGACTAGAGTAAAGCATTTTGGTTTTCAGCCATTGCAGGAAAAAAAGCTGCGCTTTAAAGTGCAGGCTTTCTGGGCCTTCCTGCCAGGGAAAACTCTGACTCTTTCAAGCAGGAGGTCCAGACTATGGAGCTATGGACACAATGTTACAGCCTGCTTCCTGGCAAAGATCTTGAAATGCCATAGGAGCTTTTCAGTGTTGTTTACACACTGTTGCAGTTTGCTTCCTGGCAAGGACCTTGAAACACCATAGAGTTGTGACAAAAAAATTCTCCATATTCCTTAGCAAATTAAAGACCCATGTGGTCAGAAAAAGATATACAGTAAAGAGAGATTCAACGAGGAAGAAAACCTCTAAATAGTTTATAGTCTGTTAAAAATATATACAGGCTAAAGATTAAAGTTCTCAAAAAAAAAAAAAAAAGAAAAGAAAAGAAATAGAGTAGCCTGGGAGGCAGAGACAGATGGATCTCTGTGAGTTCAAGGATAGCCTGGTTTACAGAGGGAATTCCAGGACGAAGATATACAGAGAACCTGTCTCAGAAAACCAAAAGTTAAAAGTAAAAATAAAAGAAACAGAGGTTAAAATAAAGCCATGTAAAGATGGAAAATACACAGAGAATCTTGATACTGTATGCTATTATGCTCTCTTTAAATTGTTTGAATGCTGAGGAAGGAGCAACAGCTGCTAAAAGATAATTGCTTATAAATGCTGCAGAATTAATCCAAGGTAGGTATTTTGAAATTACCTTGGCTTCAAAATTGAAGTCAAAAGGTATGTTACGTTGGAGAAGAGATTTTGCTTTTGTTTCCACAGAAAATGAGAGGCTGTGGATTTACTCAGTTAAGAAAAATAAGCTTTGATCAAGGAAGGTCATCTGAGAAACCTCTGGCAGAAATAGACGGCCCAGATGTCTGAGTTCTTCATCCAAAACAAGTTCAAGACTGCTGCCTGATATGATCAAGACTCACAGGATACTTCAGTCAAGACTTGATCATAACTCTAAATTTTCTTTAGGTACCCATAAGATTATCAGCACCCCCAACCAGCTGGAAGTAGCCTGGAATACTACGCCCACATTCCCAAAAAATGATGGATATTTTCCTTTTTTTTTTAAAAAAAAGGGGGAAGTGGTGTGGGAGAATTGTCTGTAATCTGTCAATCATGTTTTAAATAAACACTGATTGGCCAGGCAGGAAGTATAGGCGGGAAAACCAGACAGGAAATAGAAGTAATACAATGAGAACAGGAGATTCTGGGAAGGAGGAAGGGAGGAAGTTGATTCCTCCCACTCCTGCCCAGACCACTGAAGCAGCAGGATGTGATCTGCCCCCACTGAAAAAAGGTACTGAGCCACATGGCTAACACAGATCAGAAAAATGGGTTAATCAAGATGTGAGAGTTAGCCAGTGAGCAGGCCCCCCCCCCCCATGTTATACTTAACTTTCTTCGCTTGCTTCAGACCCTTTGCCTGATGGGGTGAACTGAGTAAAACAGCTGTGCCTGCAGCTGCTCTAAGCCTGATGAGTCTGCAGCTGAAAGACCCCAAGAGCTGGGCATGGCCAAGAATCCCTATATAAGCTGCCCCAAGCACAATTAAGTTTGGCATTCTTGTATCAAGGATGGCCCATGTCCGCGTCTCTCTCTGTATGTTTTTAAGTCTCCAGCTCAGTTCCGGGCTCACATATTGTCTTGTAGTGGCACGGGCGCTACAGGACTGTTTGGCCGTTTACACTCTGTCATCCACCCAGCTTAGCGCCATTGCTCTCCTCTAGTCTCTAAGGCAGTGATTCTCAACCTTCCTAATACTGTAACCCTTTAAGAAGTTCCTCGTGTTGCTGTGATCCTCCAAACAAAAAATTATTTCACTGCTATTTCATAATTGTAATTTTACTGTTATGAATTGTAATGTAAATATCTGATATGCAAGCTATTTGATCTGCAACCCCTGTGAAAGCGTTGTCTGACCTCACAGGCCCAGAGCTGCTGCTGTAAGCTGAGGCTGAAAAGGCAGGTTAGGAGAGGTATCTGCTCCCACCCTGACCCATGGGGAGAAAGGAAGAGAACGGCACTCCTCATCAAGACAGGGAGACAGGGAGGCCCAAAGAAACTATCAGAAAAGTCAGGCAACTTTCCTCCCTGAGACAGGCCAAGAAGAGAGGTTGCTCCACACATGGT